TTGAGAAAAAGATGAATAAGATCTCTTCTAAGTAATTAATAACAGAATCTAAATAATACTGTGATGACTTCAGTGTAGAGAAAGTAAAGAAGAATTTCAAGTATTCTGATTCTTCACTCACTGTGAAGAAATGTTAAAAAAGATTTAATAAAGATCTCTGTTTCAACTGTGAAGCTGATGAACACTATATTAATAATTGTAAGAAGCTGAAGAAGAAAAGAAACTGAGAAGATATCTTCTTAAAGTTAACTTCTCTTGTGACAAATATATCTGTGAAAGATAAAGAAGAGAAAGAAATAAAGAATTAATAATTCTTATATCTCTGAGTTTATATTATAATCACAATGTATACTCTGAATAAGAAGATATCAGTGAGATGTCTACTTAACTCTGAGATGAATATTAACTTCATATTCTATTTCTTTTCTTTGATGAAGAATTGAAAGAAGATAGATTCATCAGATTATATGAAATTTACTGATGAAATGAAATATCACTGTTTTAACATAATTCAAGCAAAGTGTGTAATTACAGACTTAGAAGAAATCTTCAAGAAGAGCAGTCTGCTTCTTCACATAGTTAATATTATAGATGAGAATGTCATTCTAGATCTTCTATAATTGAGAGAAAACAATTCTCTTATTAACTGAGTCACTCAGACATAGCAGTACTATCTCACTGATGAAGAGACAGTAATAGAGAAATCTGAAGAGTTTCATCAGAAGAATCTTGAGAAAAAGATAGAGTTAATGTACTGTGTAACAGATGACTGAGACTTGAGAACAGATGAAGAAGTTATTACTCTCACTGCAAGATTAGCAGCAGTATTCATTATTAAAGACAGATAAACATAACATCTCTTTACAGAATATAAGAATGTCTTTTCAGAAAGAGAAGTAGTAAAGTTTTCTGATATCAAGATATGATATAAGATTTATCTTGAAGATAATGTAACAGTACTATACAGACTTCTTTACAACTTGTCTGTAAAGAAATTGAATGTTCTACATAAATATCTTGAAGAAGCATAATCAAAGAACTGAATATACTTATCAAAGAGTTCAGCAGAGATGTCTATACTCTTTGTATCTAAGAAGAATAATAGACTACATCTATGTGTAGACTACAGAGGTCTTAATAAGATGACAGTTAAGAATTACTATTCATTACTGTTAATTAATAAGATAATTGATCAATTATCTGAAGCAAAGATATTCTCAAAAATTGATATACAGAATGTCTATTATAGAATCAGAGTTAACAAAGATAATGTTTGAAAAACAGCTTTTCATACTAAGTACAGCAATTTTAAATATCTTGTTTTATCTTTTAATCTTTATAATACTTCAGTCATCTTTCAGATCTATATAAATAAGATGCTGCAGAGCCTTGTCAATGTCTTCTGCATAGTATATCTGAATAACATTCTAATCTTCTTAAAATCAGAGAAAGAACATGATACTCATGTTCAAGAACTATTGAGTTACTTGAGACAGTATTAACTCTATATAAACACTAAAAAATGCTCATTCTACATGCAGAAGATTGATTTCTTAGATTATATTATTGAGATAAACAGCATTTCAATGAATAGAAGTCAGGTCTCTGTTATTAAGAACTGATCAGTGTCACAGACATACTGTGAGATACAGATATTTCTAGAATTTGTGAATTTCTACAGATAATTCATCTATGTATATTTACAGATTACTGTCTCTCTTACAGATCTGTTAAAGAGAAGTGTGAAAGATAGAAAAACAGAATTATTTATTCTCACTTAAGATATTATACAGATGTTTGTGAAATTGAAACAAGCTTTTACAGATATTATAATACTGAATCATTTTAACTCTGACTTACTCAGTCAGTGTGAGACTGATGTATCTGAGAATGAAATCTGTGAAATCTTTTCACAGTTGACATCAGAGACCTTTTAATATTGAAAGAAACAGAGAATAATCATCTCTAAGAATACAGATAATGAATTATCTGTGAAAGAAGGCTTTTTCACAGAGTCTATAAGATACTGTGAATGAAGATCAGTAACCTTCTTCTTCAAGAAGTTATTACTTATACAGAGAAGATATAATACTCATAATCAGAAGATGTTAACAATTGTTGAATTCTTTAAGATCTGATAATATTATCTTCAGAGTAGTAAGTATTCAGTGTAAGTTCTCACTGATTATACAAATCTGCATTACTTCTTAATAACAAAGAGCTTAACAGAATATTAAGTCAGATGAGCAGAGCAGCTTTCAGAGTATGATTTCTATATCTGATACTGTTCAGATCAGCTTAATTCAGTTGACACACTGTTTAAATAATCTGATTATAATATTATTAATATGAAGAAGAATTCTACAAAAGAATCTCTGTTATCACTGCAGAAGAAGCTGACTGCAGAGAGTTAAGATTCTCTGAAGCTCAGAAACAGTGCTGATAAGACAGCTACATGACTCAGTATAGAAGATAAAAGAAAATCTGAGTCTCTGTAGAGAACTGACACTGAAGATTATGAGCTTCTTATATCACATCTTACTATTATTGAATTGATAAAGAATGAAACAGTCTACAATCTTTTAATCTAACTACTTTTAAAATTCATTGATAAATTACAGAAGAGAAACATCTCTACTACAGCTTGAATTCAGAAGTTAAAGAAGAAAGAATTCAGTTTGAACTTGAAAGAGACAGACTCTGAGCAGAGCAGTGCTGCTAAGAAATCAAGTCACTGATAACTAGAAGAATATAGACTTCTACTGCTGAATAGTTCAGTCTTCATCTCTTATAGTAGAGCAGTGTGTCAGAAGTTATTAAGAATTTATCATGATAATTCTTATACAGAGCACTTCAGATTAGAGAAGACTGAGAAGCTTTTAAAATATAAATATATTTAAGACAAGCTTTGAGCAGATGTTAAAGAGTATGTTAAGACTTACAATATCTGTCAAAGAATAAAGATCTCATAGTATAAGTAATACAGTGAGTTAGTATCACTGTTTGTTTCAAAGAACTTATAACAGAATCTATTAATGAATTTCATAGTTGATCTGCTGAAGTTAACAAGAGTTAAAGAATATGACTTAATTTTAGTTATTATTAATCATTTTATGAAGATGATTAAATATATCTCTACTTATAAAAAGATTAAAGCCTCTGAATTAACTGACCTGTTTTTAGATATCATCATTTATAATTACAGTGCTTTAAAATTGTTAATAATAGATTAAGAATCTCTCTTCATCAGTAAATACTGATCAGCTTTTTACTATTATCTTATAATAAAATGTCTTCTCAGTACTGTATTTCATTCACAGACAGATAATCAGACTGAATATCAGAATCAGATACTAGAACAGCATCTTTAAGCATTCTATTTATATTATTAGAATGATTGATCTAAATATCTTTTAATCACTGAATTCATATATAATAATATAAAGAATGTAATCTTAAAGATATCTTCTTTCTATACTTATTATAAATATAATTCTTTATTATTCAGTGACATCACAGACAATGTTTTAAAGAGAGAAATAAATAGTCAGAATATTAAACAGATATAGAGAACAGAGTATCTCTCAGTATCAGAAGTAAAAGTAAGATTAAAACTTTTGAATAAAATTTATAAGAAGATGATGAAAAGCATCTGCTGTGCTCAGAAGTGATAGATAAAATACTATAATTAAAAACATCTTTTAATAAAGTTCTTGATAGAGAATCAAGTGCTACTTTCAGTAAAGAATATCAAGATAATGAGACTATGTAAGAAGCTCAGTGAGTGATAACTAGAATCTTTCTCAGTAATAAGAGTGATGAGTAAGCAGATATATAAGTTAAAATTACTTACAGAATTGAAATTAATTCATTCTATTTTTCACATTTTCTATTTAAAGCTTTATAAGTAATATCTCAGAGCAGAGTCATCTTGACTAAATAATATTAAGATTGAGAGTGATACTGAATATCTTATGAAGAAAATATTGAATAAGTGAATACATTATAATAAGCTTCAATATCTTATAAAATGAAAAGATTATTCATTATCAGAGAATTCATAAAAACTGCTTGAGTATTTGAAAAATGCTGAGAAAGAGATTGTAAGCTATAAGACAGCTAGTAGAGACTACTCTGTTACATATTAGAGACATTGAATAAGAAATACTGCTTAAGACTTCTCATTTTTTCTTAAAGAGTTTTTAGAGATAATCTTGTAGTAATGAGCTGATATCTTGTGAGCTCTGTAGCACTCTTCTTCTATTTTCTCTCAAAGGATTTTTTAGAAGTTTAATAAGACTACACAAGTATAAAATTCCTGAAGTGATTAGAGAAAAGAGATATTTGAAATTAACAAAGATTAATATTATTAATTCATAAGCTGCTGCTATTCTAATAGAGCTGCAGCTCACTGAAAAAGTAAAAAGAGAGATCAGAGTCTACTTACTAATAATTACATTCTTATCAAACTCATTCTTCACTGTTGAAGTCTTTAGTACTGATATCTTTATCTGCTGAGAAGTTAGTGCTGCAGCACTGTAGAAGAGTATGAGAAATATATAAAATATCAACTTATTAACTTATAAAGCATCTTAATCATCTGCTTTAACTGAAGTGAGATTCTCTCTAATCAGTGATTAATCTTCATAACACTTTCAATAACAGTACTGACTGATTTCTTCTTAAAGTCAGTTATTCTGAGATGTTTTTTTATCTCAGAGATTTATACTTTCATCTTCTTTTATAGATGAGTAAGAGAGATCTTCTCAGTCTTGATAAAATTTATTAATACTTAAAACTCTGAAACTCTCACTCTATACTGCTTAAGCATCTGAGCTTCTTATCAGAGCTGATATGATATCTTCTTGTAGAGTAGATAATACTTATAGAGAGATAGAAGTTATTATTACAGATACAATGAAAATAATAAGAGTGAGAGAAGAAATAAATATACAAGATTTCTCTCTTCTTTAACTACTTAGTACAGTGGGCAGACATTATCAAGATAATCTGATCAACCGCTCCACCACGAACTCGCTCGATTTTTCGAATAAGAACCCGCCGATAGATCCATCGAAAAGCCCTCGATCATACGAGCATTTTGACCCCATCGCCGACCGCATACCCCGTGTGGTGGTGGAGTTATCCAGCCAAACGTGAACCAGACGTCGTTCGGAACTCCTGCGTGGGATTATCCCCCATTCTCCCCTACCAGACCACAACCCCGGGCCAAATTGCCATACAAATTGTAAGGTGAAGAGACCTAGCCGTATGCACCAATCTTCTCGATTTTGGAAGATCCCCGATCTGTAGTTGTGGAGATATCTGAGGAGCGACCTCCGCGAAAACCCTGTCCATCTTTGATGTTCCAAAACACCAACGCCAAGTCCCACCCTCGTACCGCCCTTCCCAATCTGGCCCATCCCCAGCAGAAAAATACAAAAAGATACCTCGGCGATAATATCAAGCACATAATCAATGGACAACGAGTCAACAGCACATCAACAACTATAAAATCAGTATATCTCAAGATCTGACTGAGCCTTTGATCTCTGCACAGTGAGATATATTAAATCTAGTTTTAATATCTCAATATTCAATAGATTCTGCAAGGGATTAAGAACAGCAACACTAGGTTTCTATTGAATTTAAGAATTAACTCTATATTAATATAATCATTGACAAAGTCTTCTATTTTGAGATATAAATAACCAGTTCCTCTACATCTCACTGGCAATATTTATATTATTATATAGAAACAGACTTATATTCTCTATAATATCAAGACTCTGAAGAGAGAAAGTCTTGATAAAGAGTATACAGTAGTGTATATCTTAGCAGTTTCTATCTCATTCTTCTACAGCAGTCAATGCATAAAAAAAAAAGATCTTAGAAATAGTTTTTTACTTCTCTTGAAAAAGTAAGATGTTTTTCTCTGGATTTTACACAATATTCTTACAAAGAATTAAAAACAGAGCTGTTTTCTGTCATAATTTCATATTCTTTTAAGTAAGAATTACTTTTTCAGTGACTGAAGAGCTTTCATTAATACTTAATTCTTTTTTACACTCTTTATTAACTGATTTGAGTTGCACACTTGTTGTGTGAGAAGAATTGAATAATTTAGAATAAAATTGAATAGTTTTAATCAATTTCTCTGCAAAAAATTGATTTATTTTTTATCAGTTTTTCTCTCAAAAACTGTCATATTATCTGATTTATTATCAATTGATATCATACTTTTTCTCACTGTATCCCAAGAAAGAGATTGTAAAGATTTTATTGATTTATCTCAAAAATCAATTTTAGTTTATTAGATTCTCTTCAAAAATCTAACCTAGTTACTGAACTAGTGTGAAAAAAATCAGGTGTTTTATACACAAAAGTCTTTTATTCTTCTTTTGAAACAGTCTGATCAACTTTTCAATTGAAAACAGACTTAGAAATATCTCAATTGAAACAGTCTGATCAACTTTTCATTGAGTGAAAACAATGAGTTTAAAAATACACTCAGTTGATGTGGAAAAAGATGCTTTCTCAAATGCTATTTCTGAGATTGAAATTCTGAAGAGAAGAAAGAAAGAAGAAATAGAGAAATAACAAGTTCTTGAAATACAGAAACTTGAAAAAGCAAGCAAGATTCTTGAAAAGCAGTGTCTGAGTGAGATGAATGAAGAAGTTCTGTTAATTCTTGATACTCAGACTAGACAACTACAGAAGATGATCAAGTTCAAACTTGGAATCTCAAACACAGTTCAAAAAACATTGAAAATTCCTAGTATAATTACTGACTCTTCATCTTGCTCTTCTTCATTCTTTTTTTCTACTTCTTCTTCTTCTTTGAATCAGAAGAAAACATATGCTCAAGTAGCTGAATCTGCTGTCTCTAAACCTGCTGTCTCAAAACCTGCTCAAAATCCTGAGAAAACTGAGAAGAATACTGCTCATGTCTCTATTCATAGAAAAGTGAAAAAGAAAATGTAAACAGAGAAAAACTTTCAAATCTTCAGAAATAGAAGACTTATTCTCAAAGTCTCAAATCAGAACATTCTGCAATGAAACAAGCTAAACTCAAATCTCATTTTCAGAATCAGAAATGAAATTAATCAGCAGTTCTTTTCTCAGTTGATGACTGATATTGAAGTTCAAAAATCAGTTATAGCTTCAATTGAGTCATCATTCTTTGAAAACTTCATCATTCTGACTACAATGTCTGAATTCAGTGCTGAATTTCTTATTCAGAATAAGAATCTCTGAAAGTCAGCAGTAGAATCTTTGTTAAATATAACAATTCTATCTGAAAGAGATGAAAAGTGAGATAAATTCATTCTTCATGATATTTCAGTTGAAGTTTTTGACTGTGAAGAAGGAATGCTACTTCTCAAAAATGAATTGAAAGAATACAACTCTATTCAACTGAGAAAGAAGCCTGTATAACTAAATTCAATTGAGTTCAGACAAAGCAGAAGAAATGTCTCTGTTCTAGTATATATAAAAACACTTGAACAGTCAAAGATCTCTGAAGTAAGAGTAGCAGGTTTGAAAATGAGAGTTCATGAATACAAAGACTCAAGAATGAATCTCAAAGCTCAAACACAGTGTTCAAACTGTCAAAGATATGAATACTTTGCAATCTCATATTTTAGAGACTCAAAATGTGCATTCTGTGCCAGAGATCACAAAACTAGTGAGCATAAATGTGAAACATGCTCAAAAAGAGATGAAATTTGTCAATATACTCTGCTTAAGTGCTCTAATTGTAAAGAAAAATATGCATCTAGCTCAAAAGAATGTATGTTTGCTTCTAGAACTCAAAAGAACTGGAGAAAAGATGAAGCTCAAAGTCAATCTAGAACTGAAGAGAAGAGTCAAGCCAGTAAACTTACAACTGTAAGTTTAAAAAGAAGAAACTCTCAACTATCTAAATCATCAAACTCTAATTCTTCAGCTAAATATAAACAGAATTTGAATCCTCAAACTTCTATTAAGATTAGAGAATTGAGAAATGACTCTGATGATAAACTAGATATAATGCAAGCAGTTGAGATTTCTACTTTTAAGAATAGTTATAATCTACTATCTGATGATAGTGATTAGATTCTACTCTACTCTCTTTTAGTATGAATATACAACAAAAACAACAAAAAAAGTTTAAAAACTCTTCAAAAATCACATTTATTCAAAATAATGTGGATAGAAACTCAAATTGCATTTATTCTTGTCTTTAAATTGCATTTGAACAAAAATAATAATATCTGGACAATTGATAGAGGATTTCTGAACATAACTTCATCAAGAAACTGTATAATTGCAGGAGATTTCAATGCACATCATCTCTGATGAAATTCAGAATGCAAGAGAGCAGTGAAAGCTGATAATCTAGTTGAATAAACCTTTAAGCATTCAATAGATTTGATTAATAAGTCTGATCAACAACCATTCTTTAGAAAAGGCATGAAACAGAAATCTATTATAGATCTAATCTTCATGTCACAAAATCTAATGAAAAGAAGACTTGTAAACTGATTTATTAATTCAAATGAGACATCAGAATCAGATCATGAGATTATTCAATTTGAGATTGAACTGAGTAAAAAACAAATGAGTGAAAATCCTCTTCTCTCTAATCAGTTTAACTTTGAAAAAGCTGATTGAAAAGCAGTTGAAGAAAGTATAAAACTGTTAAAATCTGAAAGACAGAATGAGCTATACTGAAATTCTGGTCAAGATATCTCAAATGAAATACTTGAGAATAGAGTGAAGCTTATTACATCTATTATTCTAACAAGTGTTAAAGATAATATTTCAAAGAGAAAATCTTCTGAGTATTCAAAATCTTGATGAAATGAGAATATCTCATCTAAAAGAAAAGAATTAGCTACTGTTAGAAGAGATTGAAAGAATGATATAATATCTGATAAAGAGTTCAAAGCTGTCAGAAATGAATATTTTTCAGATATTAAAAAAGCTAAAACAGACTGCTGAAATAAATTTCTTGAAGAAGCATAAGAGAAGAAAGTTTTTAAAGCTTTTAACTATACTAAAACAAGAAGTGTAGCAAAACTTTCAACCTTAGAATATGAGTTTCAGAATGAATCATATACAGCAAACTCTTTTGAGAAAAAATGTCAAGTTTTTATAAGAACTCTCTTTCAATACTCATCAGATTCAGATTCAGAGGAAGAGAATATATCACTTCTTAACTATATTGATGAAAATGACTGGGAATGGCCTGATCTTACTCAAGATGAATTAGAGTCAGCTATTTTCTCAAGTTCAGTTAAGACTGCTGCAGGGCCTGATTCAATTAATCACTTGATTATTCAAAATACATACTTCTACTTAAAGAATGAATATTTTGAGCTCTTTTTCAATCTCTTGAAAAATGAATATCATTCTGAATGCTGGAGAGAAGTCACTGAAGTGATTCTTACAAAGCCTAATAGAAAAACTTCAATTTCTAAGTCATATAGAGTAATATCTCTATTGAACTGTCTAGAAAAGATTTTAGAAAAGATAATAGCTACTCAACTATCTTTTATAAGCTCTGTCAGTAATTCTCTTTTATTCAGTGAATAAATGAGGAATAGAAAACAGTGTTCTGCAATTGACACTGTTCTCTCAGTTATTCATGATATTCAAATAGCAAAGTATGAAGATCTGGTCTCAACTGCAGTTTTTATTGATATAAAAGAAGCATTTGATCATGTTTCAAAGTCAAAGCTAAATCAGACATTGAAGATGTTAAAACTGTCACTTTCTCTAATAAAATGAGTTAACTGTTTTATATCTAAAAGAATTATACAACTTTTCTTTGATGAAATGAAACAAGATAAGACTGAGATAAAAATAGAAGTATCACAAGAATCTTCAATCTCACTCATTTTATTTGCAATATACACTGCATATCTATTCAAGAATAGAAATATGAGAATAGTGAGATCTCTGAGTTATGTGAATGATATTGATCTAGTCTACAGCTCAAAAACTATCAAAGAGAATTTAAAAGTGATTGAAGAAGCTGTAAAGAAAATCTTTGTTAGAGCAGATATCAATTAAATTCAATTTAATATGAATAAAGCTGAGTTAATTCATTTCTTTTCTAGATTCAATGAGAAAGAACTGTCTCTATCTCTTTTAAATAGAGAGATTAAACCCAGTGTAAATGTCAAATGATTAGGAGTATGATTAAACTCTAAGTTAAACTTTAAATATCACATTCAACAAAGAACTGTCAAGGCAGAAAGGCTATTGAACAACATAATCAGACTATCAAATACAGAGAGAGATCTATTCTTCCAGGCTATGAGACAGTTATATATAGCCTGTATTACATCAGTAGCTGATTATGAAGTTCAAGTTTAATGAAATAATCAAGGCAATTTCACTGAACTCTTTCAAAGTCTGCAAAACAGAGTCTTGAGAAGAATTCTGAGAGTATTCAAATCATCTTCTATTAAAGCAATGA